CCTCAAGTGAAATTTAAATTTTTTTTATTGATTTTGGAAGCTATTCGTTAGGTCAGGTTTGATCAACTGTTTTTTTCGTTAGATCTATCACGCAAGAGGCGGTATTCACTACTTAATTTTGTGGGCGTGACTACGGGTTAGCCCCCCCTCAAGTGAAATTTGAATTTTTTTTATTGATTTTGGTAGATATTCGTTAGGTCAGGTTTGATCAACTGTTTTTTTCGTTAGATCTATCACGCAAGAGGCGGTATTCACTACTTAACTTTGTGGGCGTGACTACGGGTTAGCCCCCCCTCAAGTGAAATTTGAATTTTTTTTTATTGATTTTGGTAGCTATTCGTTAGATCAGGTTTGATCAACTGTTTTTTCATGATTCATCAATGCCAGTTATAGCGTATTCATACCTAACTTTGTGGGCGTGACTACGTGGTTAGCCCCCTCAAGTGAAATTTGAATTTTTTTATTGATTTGGTAGATATCGTTGTCAGTTTGATCAATCCGTTTTTTTCGCTAGATCTATCACTAAAGAGGCGTATTCACTACTTAACTTTGTATGGACTCCAGTTGGCTGACATCTCACTCCAATTAGCTCTTGGAGATGTCATTAGTCTAGGGGTTCACATACTTTTCCACCTGCACTGTGAATGTTTACATGGTGTGTTCAATAAAAACATGGCAACATTTCATTCTTTGTGTGTTATTAGTTTAAGCAGACTTTGATTGTCTATTGTGTGACTTAGATGATGATCAGATCACATTTTATGACCAATTTGTGCAGAAATCCATATCATTCCAAAGGGCTCACATACTTTTTCTTGCAACTGTATTCAAATATCACTAATAAGTTCAGGCTGGGCATATGCTGGACTTTATCACCTCAATACTGTGCATGTAGAGAATAAAAAAAAAAATATTGAAAATGATCTACACATTGTGTTAGCAAATCCAAGCAAATTCCTAAATTATGATGTCACCTGTGGCTTGATATGAAAATTTACTGGTATTTATGTGCAAAATTAAAATAAGATTGTGAATACCGCCTTTTGCGTGATAGATCTTACGGAAAAAAAACAGTTGATCTTACTTAATCTAACAAATAGCTACCAAAATCAATGAAAAAAAATTAAAATTTCACATGAGGGGGGGCTAAATACCGCCTCTTGCGTGATAGATCTAACGAAAAAAACAGTTGATCAAACCTGACCTAACAAATATCTACCAAAATCAATAAAACAAAATTCAAATTTCACTTGAGGGGGGGCTAACCCGTAGTCACGCCCACAAAGTTAAGTAGTGAATACCGCCTCTTGCGTGATAGATCTAACGAAAAAAACAGTTGATCAAACCTGATCTAACGAATAGCTACCAAAATCAATAAAAAAAAATTCAAATTTCACTTGAGGGGGGGCTAACCCGTAGTCACGCCCACAAAGTTAAGTAGTGAATACCGCCTCTTGCGTGATAGATCTAACGAAAAAAACAGTTGATCAAACCTGATCTAATGAATAGCTACCAAAATCAATGAAAAAAATTCAAATTTCACTTGAGGGGGGGCTAACCCGTAGTCACGCCCACAAAGTTAAGTAGTGAATACCGCCTCTTGCGTGATAGATCTAACGAAAAAAACAGTTGATCAAACCTGATCTAACGAATAGCTACCAAAATCAGTAACATTTTGTCCAAATTTCAGTTGAGGGGGGGCCAGCCCCCCCTAATTATATATGCAATATCTCAGTAATTAGACTAGATCAAACAAAAATTTTGCCTGATCAAACCTGATCTAACGTAGAGCTATCATAATCAACAACATTTTCTCCAAATTTTTGTTGAGGTGGGGCTGGCTACGGGTTAGCCCCCCCTGACAATGATTGTTAATATCGCATATTTTAGAGTAGATCTAACGAAAAAAATTGTTGATCAAACCTGATCTAACAAAGATCTAACAAATGGAATAATCTTTTGTTAAAATTCTCAATATGGGGGGGCTAACCCGGGGGTGGTAAGCTCCACATCAATAAAATGCATAAGGGTATCACAGAGCTCCACATCAATAAAACTCACAGTAATGTGCAATGTGCATAAGGGTATCACAGAGCTCCACAGCAATAAAACTCACAGTAATGTGCAGTGTGTATAAGGGTATAACAGAGCTCCACAGCAATAAACTCACAGTAATGTGTATTCTGGACCGGCTGCAGAGGCTATGAATGTGTTTTTCAGGAGCACATGGCGCTCATTGCCCTGATGAGATTATCCATACCAAATCACCTTCCCAGATAGTTTACTCAGTCACAACTCACATGTAAGAAGATCTGGCGGGGTTAATTCGTCATAAGATCTGTAGAATGTGCAGTTACAACAGGTAAAAGGACGATTCTTCCATACAGGATAGCAGAGATACAAGTCACATATGAATGTACAGCATAAAAAGGCACTAATACGGGAGAGGGAGAGGGGGTACCTGGAGCAGCATGCAAACTATGGAGTGACACAAGAGACAAACTTAAGATGAACATTAAAGAAACCGTACATTATAATAAAACAATATCATGTAACGTGTAACAATGTGCAGTGTGTATGAGGGAATCCCAGAACTCCACATCAATAAAACTCACAGTAATGCACAGTGTGTATTAATGTATCACAGAGCTCCCTTAGTAATAAAACTCACAGTAATATGCAAAGTGTATGAATGTATCACAGAGCTCCACAGCAATAAACTCACAGTAATATGCAATGTGTATGAATGTATCACAGAGCTCCACAGCAATAAACTCACAGTAATGCACAGTGTGTATGAATGTATCACAGAGCTCCCTTAGTAATAAAACTCACAGTAATATGCAAAGTGTATGAATGTATCACAGAGCTCCACAGCAATAAACTCACAGTAATATGCAATGTGTATGAATGTATCACAGAGCTCCCTTAGTAATAAAACTCACAGTAATATGCAAAGTGTATGAATGTATCACAGAGCTCCCTTAGTAATAAAACTCACAGTAATATGCAAAGTGTATGAATGTATCACAGAGCTCCCTTAGTTATAAAACTCACAGTAATATGCAAAGTGTATGAATGTATCACAGAGCTCCCTTAGTAATAAAACTCACAGTAATGTGCAATGTGTATGAATGTATCACAGAGCTCCACAGCAATAAAACACACAGTAACATGGAATGTGCCGAGTCACCTAAAATGATTCCTTTATAAAGATAAGTAGCATGGTCAGGGAACAGCCCTTAAAACCCCAGCAGGAAGATTAACAATTAAAGGCGACCTGCCACGTACAATGATTTTTAATATTATGTTTATTGAGCCTGGCTTTTTACAAATATGTGTTCGTGAGGTATGAAAGTTAATATGTAGAATCTGTAACTGGGCGCCTCCATCTTAGCTCCCTGTCAATCATTGTTATAAGCTCCGCCCATTACACCTGGCAGTCAGTATAGAGAGAGCCGCCTCCATCTTAGCTCCCTGTCAATCATTGTTATAAGCTCCGCCCTTTACACCTGGCAGTCAGTATAGAGAGAGCCGCTCCATCTTAGCTCCCTGTCAATCATTGTTATAAGCTCCGCCCTTTACACCTGGCAGTCAGTATAGAGAGAGCCGCCTCCATCTTAGCTCCCTGTCAATCATTGTTATAAGCTCCGCCCTTTACACCTGGCAGTCAGTATAGAGAGAGCAGCCTCCATCTTAGCTCCCTGTCAATCATTGTTATAAGCTCCGCCCTTTACACCTGGCAGTCAGTATAGAGAGAGCCACCTCCATCTTAGCTCCCTGTCAGTCATTGTTATAAGCTCCGCCCTTTACACCTGGCAGTCAGTATAGAGAGAGCCGCCTCCATCTTAGCTCCTGTCAATCATTGTTATAAACTCCGCCCTTTACACCTGGCAGTCAGTATAGAGAGAGCCGCCTCCATCTTAGCTCCCTGTCAGTCATTGTTATAAGCTCCGCCCTTTACACCTGGCAGTCAGTATAGAGAGAGCCTCCATCTTAGCTCCCTGTCAATCATTGTTATAAGCTCCGCCCATTACACCTGGCAGTCAGTATAGAGAGAGCAACCTCCATCTTAGCTCCCTGTCAGTCATTGTTATAATTGTTATAAGCTCCGCCCTTTACACCTGGCAGTCAGTATAGAGAGAGAGCCGCCTCCATCTTAGCTCCCTGTCAATCATTGTTATAAGCTCCGCCCTTTACACCTGACAGTCAGTATAGAGAGAGAGCCGCCTCCATCTTAGCTCCCTGTCAATCATTGTTATAAGCTCCGCCCTTTACACCTGGCAGTCAGTATATAGAGAGCCACCTCCATCTTAGCTCCCTGTCAATCATTGTTATAAGCTCTGCCCATTACACCTGGCAGTCAGTATAGAGAGAGCTGCCTCCATCTTAGCTCCCTCTCAATCATTGTTATAAGCTCCGCCCTTTATACCTGGCAGTCAGTATGGAGAGAGCCACCTCCATCTTAGCTCCCTGTCAATCATTGTTATAAGCTCCACCCTTTACCTGGCGGTCAGTATAGAGAGCCACCTCCATCTTAGCTCCCTGTCAGTCATTGTTATAAGCTCCGCATGCCCACCTGGCAGTCAGTATGGGGAACACCTGGTAGTCAGTATAGAGAGAGCCACCTCCATCTTAGCTCCCTGTCAATCATTGTTATAAGCTCCGCCCTTTACACCTGGCAGTCAGTATAGAGAGAGCCGCCTCCATCTTAGCTCCCTGTCAATCATTGTTATAAGCATCTTAGCGCCCTGTCAATCATTGTTATAAGCTCCGCCCATTACACCTGGCAGTCAGTATAGAGAGAGCCACCTCCATCTTAGCTCCCTGTCAGTCATTGTTATAAGCTCCGCCCTTTACACCTGGCAGTCAATATAGAGAGAGCCACCTCCATCTTAGCTCCCTGTCAGTCATTGTTATAAGCTCTGCTATTTAACACCTGGCAGTCAGTATAGAGAGAGCCTCCTCCATCTTAGCTCCCTGTCAATCATTGTTATAAGCTCCGCTCTTTACACCTGGCAGTCAGTATAGAGAGAGCCGCCTCCATCTTAGCTCCCTGTCAGTCATTGTTATAAGCTCCGCCCTTTACACCTGGCAGCTGCAGAGAGAGCCCATCTTAGCTCTCGTCAGTCATTGTTATGCTTTCCTGCCTCTTTTACACCTGGCAGTTGCAGCAGAGAGCCCATCTTAGCTCTCTGTCAGTCATTGTTATAAGCTCCGCCCTTTACACCTGGCAGTCAGTATAGAGAGAGCCGCCTCCATCTTAGCTCCCTGTCAATCATAGTTATAAGCTCCGCCCTTTACACCTGACAGTCAGTATAGAGAGAGAGACGCCTCCATCTTAGCTCCCTGTCAATCATTGTTATAAGCTCCGCCCTTTACACCTGGCAGTCAGTATAGAGAGAGCCGCCTCCATCTTAGCTCCCTGTCAGTCATTGTTATAAGCTCCGCCCTTTACACCTGGCAGTCAGTATAGAGAGAGCCACCTCCATCTTAGCTCCCTGTCAATCATTGTTATAAGCTCCGCCCTTTACACCTGGCAGTCAGTATAGAGCCACCTCCATCTTAGCTCCCTGTCAATCATTGTTATAAGCTCCGCCCTTTACACCTGGCAGTCAGTATAGAGAGAGCCACCTCCATCTTAGCTCCCTGTCAATCATTGTTATAAGCTCCGCCCTTTACACCTGGCAGTCAGTATAGAGAGAGCCACCTCCATCTTAGCTCCCTGTCAATCATTGTTATAAGCTCCGCCCTTTACACCTGGCAGTCAGTATAGAGAGAGCCGCCTCCATCTTAGCTCCCTGTCAATCATTGTTATAAGCTCCGCCTTTTACACCTGGCAGTCAGTATAGAGAGAGCCGCCTCCATCTTAGCTCCCTGTCAATCATTGTTATAAGCTCCGCCCTTTACACCTGGCAGTCAGTATAGAGAGCCACCTCCATCTTAGCTCCCTGTCAATCATTGTTATAAGCTCCGCCCTTTACACCTGGCAGTCAGTATAGAGAGAGCCGCCTCCATCTTAGCTCCCTGTCAATCATTGTTATAAGCTCCGCCCTTTATACCTGGCAGTCAGTATAGAGAGAGCCACCTCCATCTTAGCTCCCTGTCAATCATTGTTATAAGCTCTGCCCTTTACACCTGGCAGTCAGTATAGAGAGAGCCACCTCCATCTTAGCTCCCTGTCAATCATTGTTATAAGCTCCGCCCTTTACACCTGGCAGTCAGTATAGAGAGAGCCACCTCCATCTTAGCTCCCTGTCAATCATTGTTATAAGCTCCGCCCTTTACACCTGGCAGTCAGTATAGAGAGAGCCACCTCCATCTTAGCTCCCTGTCAATCATTGTTATAAGCTCCGCCCTTTACACCTGGCAGTCAGTATAGAGAGAGCCACCTCCATCTTAGCTCCCTGTCAATCATTGTTATAAGCTCCGCCCTTTACACCTGGCAGTCAGAATAGAGAGAGCCACCTCTATCTTAGCATAAAACAATCAGAATTTTTCAATGTTGAAATCATTACAAGCTGACTATACAACTCTCTGTCCTCAGACTATAGCGTCGGATCTAGTTTATGTAACCGTGGGGTGACATCGTGTCGCTGACACCGGATCCTGCTGAAATAGTCCTTAAAGGGACACTCCATGCACCCAGACCACTTCTGCCCATTGGAGTGGTCTGGGTGCCAACTGGCACTACCCTTAACCCTGCAATTGTAATTATTGCAGTTTTTATAAACTGCAATAATTACATTGCAGGGTTAACTCCACCCCTAGTGGCTGCCTACTAGACAGCCACTAGAGGGCACTTCCTGCTTCATAGCAAATATTCTTTTTGCTAGAGTGTCGCTGGACGTCCTGACGCTGTGTGACGACCTCCAGCGTCGCTCAATTCCCCATAGGAAAGCATTGAAAATATGCTTTTCTATGGAGAGACCTAAAGCGCGTGTGCGGCTTTGCCGCGCATGCGCATTAGGTTTCCTCAGGCGGCGGGATCAGTCTCGCCCACCGGCTGACGTAATTACTCGGAGGAGCGACACTGACCCGAAACCACCACCGAGGGACATCGGCGGGGTCTCAGGTAAGTGACCTGAAGGGGTTTTCACCCCTTCAGCTACCTGGGATGGGAGGTGGGAGGGAGAATGGATTATTTTCCTGGCACTGGAATTTCCCTTTAACACCACTCACATCTTCAATGGATTCTAACTTGGGAACACGGACGGCACTATACCATGGTTCAATACAACGCTAGGCACACTGTCATATTAATACGGGGAGTCGGGGACCAACACTTACCTTTTTAATGACGAGATTATGAAAGAAAATCAACGAGTTGTGAATTAGCAGTATATACTCCGTGGCACCATGCTCACAGATTACCTCAGCCACGTATGTAACACATCCAACTGAGGATGGATTGGGATCCGTGGTGGTGATTTGGGGATTTATTTTTGTATATAAAAATAATTTTTTTCATACACGTTGGAATACTCGTGATCTGACTGTCAGTATTCAATTTTAATGTTTGTAATCTCCTAAGTAAATGGAGGTCAGTATGCACTTAGTACAAATTAAACCATTTTAAAACATCCCTTCTAAAAAGTCTCTGGATCCTGATCTTTCTCCACATAAACGGCTGAGGGCTCTGAGACTGCCGCGTCTCCCGTGGCTTTCTACGGGAGAGATGTAATTACCCACAATCCTCTGCTCAGCGTGCACGACAGCAGAAACCTCCTATATTTATTAATTCAGATTATGCATCTCTTCAACCCTGGAAACATGGACCTTAGTGATGTGTATGGTCTTGGTCATATATATATATATATATATATATATATATACACACACACACACACACACACACACAATTTTTCAAATCACTCTTTTCAGTTAATTTTTAAACTTAACTATTTTGTTTGAAGTTTTGTACTTTTGTTCTTAATTCTTCACTTTATTAAATCCTTTTGCCTCTGCAATAAGTATCAATATTCCATATCAAATCCATTCCGGGTATGAACTCTCCCTACGCGCCCTTTACTGGTGACAATATTTCATATCAAATCCATTCCGGGTATGAACTCTCCCTACGCGCCCTTTACTGGTGACAATATTCCATATCAAATCCATTCCAGGTATGAACTCTCCCTACGTGCCCTTTACCGGTGACAATATTCCATATCAAATCCATTCCGGGTATGAACTCTCCCTACGCAACCTTTACCGGTGACAATATTCCTTCTCAAATCCATTCCAGGTATGAACTCTCCCTACGCGCCCTTTACTGGTGACAATATTCCTTCTCAAATCCATTCCAGGTATGAACTCTCCCTACGCGCCCTTTACTGGTGACAATATTCCTTCTCAAATCCATTCCAGGTATGAACTCTCCCTACGCGCCCTTTACCGGTGACAATATTCCATATCAAATCCATTCCGGGTATGAACTCTCCCTACGCAACCCTTTACCGGTGACAATATTCCTTCTCAAATCCATTCCAGGTATGAACTCTCCCTACGCGCCCTTTACTGGTGACAATATTCCTTCTCAAATCCATTCCAGGTATGAACTCTCCCTACGCGCCCTTTACTGGTGACAATATTCCTTCTCAAATCCATTCCAGGTATGAACTCTCCCTACGCGCCCTTTACTGGTGACAATATTCCATCTCAAATCCATTCCAGGTATGAACTCTCCCTACGCGCCCTTTACTGGTGACAATATTCCATATCAAATCCATTCCGGGTATGAACTCTCCCTACGCACCCTTTACTGGTGACAATATTCCTTCTCAAATACATTACAGGTATGAACTCTCCCTACGCGCCCTTTACTGGTGACAATATTCCTTCTCAAATCCATTCCAGGTATGAACTCTCCCTACGCGCCCTTTACTGGTGACAATATTCCTTCTCAAATCCATTCCAGGTATGAACTCTCCCTACGCGCCCTTTACTGTTGACAATATTCCATATCAAATCCATTCCGGGTATGAACTCTCCCTACGCGCCCTTTACTGGTGACAATATTCCTTCTCAAATCCATTCCAGGTATGAACTCTCCCTATGTGCCCTTTACTGGTGACAATATTTCATATCAAATCCATTCCAGGTATGAACTCTCCCTACGCGCCCTTTACTGGTGACAATATTCCATATCAAATCCATTCCAGGTATGAACTCTCCCTACGCACCCTTTACTGGTGACAATATTCCTTCTCAAATCCATTCCAGGTATGAACTCTCCCTACGTGCCCTTTACTGGTGACAATATTTCATATCAAATCCATTCCAGGTATGAACTCTCCCTACGCGCCCTTTACTGGTGGCAATATTCCATATCAAATTCATTTCAGGTATGAACTCTCCCTACGCGCCCTTTACTGGTGACAATATTCCTTCTCAAATACATTACAGGTATGAACTCTCCCTACGCGCCCTTTACTGGTGACAATATTCCTTCTCAAATCCATTCCGGGTATGAACTCTCCCTACGTGCCCTTTACTGTTGACAATATTCCATATCAAATCCATTCAAGGTATGAACTCTCCCTACGCGCCCTTTACTGGTGGCAATATTCCATATCAAATCCATTCCAGGTATGAACTCTCCCTACGCACCCTTTACTGGTGACAATATTCCTTCTCAAATCCATTCCAGGTATGAACTCTCCCTACGTGCCCTTTACCGGTGACAATATTCCATATCAAATCCATTCCAGGTATGAACTCTCCCTACGTGCCCTTTACCGGTGACAATATTCCATATCAAATCCATTCCAGGTATGAACTCTCCCTACGCGCCCTTTACCGGTGACAATATTCCATATCAAATCCATTCCAGGTATGAACTCTCCCTACGCGCCCTTTACCGGTGACAATATTCCATATCAAATCCATTCCAGGTATGAACTCTCCCTACGCACCCTTTACTGGTGACAATATTCCTTCTCAAATCCATTCCAGGTATGAACTCTCCCTACGTGCCCTTTACTGGTGACAATATTTCATATCAAATCCATTCCAGGTATGAACTCTCCCTACGCGCCCTTTACTGGTGGCAATATTCCATATCAAATTCATTCCAGGTATGAACTCTCCCTACGCGCCCTTTACTGGTGACAATATTCCTTCTCAAATACATTACAGGTATGAACTCTCCCTACGCGCCCTTTACTGGTGACAATATTCCTTCTCAAATCCATTCCAGGTATGAACTCTCCCTACGTGCCCTTTACTGTTGACAATATTCCATATCAAATCCATTCCAGGTATGAACTCTCCCTACGCGCCCTTTACTGGTGGCAATATTCCATATCAAATCCATTCCAGGTATGAACTCTCCCTACGCACCCTTTACTGGTGACAATATTCCTTCTCAAATCCATTCCAGGTATGAACTCTCCCTACGCGCCCTTTACTGGTGACAATATTCCATATCAAATCCATTCCAGGTATGAACTCTCCCTACGCGCCCTTTACTGGTGACAATATTTGTGATAATTGTGATAAAATCCAATTAACTAATTAAGAATGATTGATTGATCACTAATGAGCAAATTAATCTATCATAGATAGTTAAGATAGCACTTGGTTTAAACTGTGTCGCACTAAGAAATTCGACTTGTGTCGCACTAAGAAATTCAGCTATGATGACATTGCATAAAATGCTTAAACTGTGTCGCACTAAGAAATTCAACATTGCCTGGAATATTCCATAGCATGTCTGGCCAATATCCAAAAAGGCCCACGTGCTGAACAGAGGGAATTGGTGCCAACAAATGTATGGAGAGATAAGAGTAGGGACATAGAGAGAATAAGATACCGCACGTGTCTGGCATGAGCCTTGGGTGGTCACGACTGGCCTGATCAACCATACTGATTACTTAATGCGCATGACAAGATACATGCTGGGCTGTCCTGATAAGAAATCTTGAAAAAGTTACAAACTTGCTAAAAGGTATAAAAGACGGAGAAACTTGGCACTCACTTGGAGAACTACCCACCTGTAATGCGGACGAGTGTTGCTGGTCTCTGCTGTTCCCAGAGAGGGTCCCTCCATGCCGACTGCCAGAGTTCTCCCCAGTCAAGTGCAGAGGACACAAGCCCCTCTAACGGTGATGTATACTTAAGCTGATATATCCGGATGCTAAGCTGTTTTGAAGTGAATGCATGCAACTTCTTAATGAGAGTTAAGCTTACTCTGTATTGGGTCCCCTTGTGGACAATAAAGTGTGGTGTGAATTCTTATCTGCAACTTGGTCTCTGTGTGGTTTCTTTTTCCTATAGCCCAAGACACTCATCTCGAACTGGGTTGTGTGCCCGCCAATATCGTCATAAACCTTATTAGGTAATTGATTATTACTTTTTGGATATTGGTGCTTCATGAATTTAATGATTAGGCACAACAATATTCCATATGAAATCCATTCCAGGTATGAACTCTCCCTACACGCCCTTTACTGGTGACAATATTCCTTCTCAAATCCATTCCAGGTATGAACTCTCCCTACACACCCTTTACTGGTAACAATATTCCATATCAAATCCATTCCAGGTCTCCCTACACGCCCTTTACTGGTGATTGGTGATAAAATGACACACATGTCCGATTTCGGAAGCTCGTAGTGATTTATTTTTTATTATTAAGGTTCACTTTTCGACGCTATTTAAACAATGACTTTAAATGAGACACAGATATAAAATAAATCTTTTAAATATATAATCGCACCCAATATTTAATGTTTTTGTTTTCATTTTTTTATTTTTTTTTTATTTCCAGTACCAATACTTTGTAAAATAGAAATGAAATATACAATACTGAATTCGACAAAAGCCAATTCTCCCATTGTAAGCGGCAGCCATTTTGTGCAATCGTGGATTTCCTGTGCAAGTCCGCTAGAAGTTACTTTAAACCTTTCAACGCTCAAGGGTTGTGCACGAGCCTCTGACAAAAGCAAGTAAAATAGCGCAAGAGATTTGAAGGATGTGTTAAGAGTCCAGTAAGCAGTATACATGTATATACACATACGCACATAGCCCTCAACAAACCATTATAAAGGGCTCGTGGTACAGGTTCGAGAGTAACACACAGGGTTGGAATTAATGCAGCGCATGTATGTAAGGTCACAGGTTGATATGGAATTAGTAAATCTCAAGCACTTATAGAAATGAAATAAATATCTAGTGAGCTTTTTAGAGAAACAAAATCCTTATTTCTTCCTTTTGGTATTTTTAACGCTTTACAGTGTAAATACCCTGCCTCCATCTACTACCAAGTGCATGGAGAGCCATCTGAACCTTGATTGGACCTTAGGATGGAACGTTTCTTATATTTAGAATCAAATCCCTCTGTCCCTCTTTTTTAGGAGCTCCATGTTGTTGGTGTGTCTGAGTGTATAACAGAGCTCCACAGCAATAATATTCCCAGTAATGTGTCTGAGTGTATAACAGAGCTCCACAGCAATAATACTCCCAGTAATGTGTCTGAGTGTATAACAGAGCTCCACAGCAATAATACTCCCAGTAATGTGTCTTTAAAATACAATACATTTGTTTAGAAATCAGTCTGTGTAAATAAGACCCATTGTTCTTCTTCTTAGTTGTATACATTTTTATTAGTAAGTCACCTAAAATTTCTTAGAACAGTCGCCCCTGGCCACACCCCTAAAGTGAAAGGGTCCCTCATCGTCCATTAGAAATGTTGGGACGTACGACGTCGTTTGCCTCGAGAATATTTGTAGCATGGAATGCTAATCTCTGGCCGCAATAATTTGCTTTATGTCTGCCTAAATGCTAAAAGTGAATTAAATGACAGGTATAGGTTGACCTAGATGTGCATCACACGCTCAGTGTTTTTAATAAAACATTTTTTTTGTAAGGTTTTAATGTGCCTTAAATTAAATCTCAGCATTGTTTCTGAAGCGACGCTTGGAGCTTGTTTATATAGTATATATTTGATTCCGCAGTTCACAAAAAGCACCTCTGTCCTCACAATAATTAGGAATATCGATTTCAAAAGTGCTAGAATTTTTCTTAATGTATAATAATACATACAATTTTTGAAGAACTCTTTTAGGTTCGTAAAAAAAACAAAAAACATACGTGTCATAAAACACAATGGAAACCGCACGCGGCTTGACTTTTCAGACGTAATTCTTGAATTTTAGCATTTTAAAACAGAGAAAATTACAGACATCTGGAAAACCGCTAATCCATGAAGCCATTTTTACCTCATTCAGAACTTGTGATAAAATGCCAAATTGTGCCATCTGTCCAGCTAAACCAGAGACCTCAATCGCGCAGTGTTACAACACACTTCACATGCACAAAGGTTGAAATTAAAATAGAAATTGTATTCACTCAGGGCTCATTTTCATTATTGCCATTAACTACCTATGGTAAGCTGTTATAATGAACAGTTGATAAATATCTAAAGCCAGAAAATAGCAGCTGGTTTCCAACCGATGATCTGTCCCCGATGATACCGTCTGCACCTTAACACCATAGCAAACTCAACTGGATCACGTCTACTAAAGTGGGATTTTGTACTAGGCTGGGTACACGTATGTGGGATTTTGTACTAAGCTGGGTACATGTATGTGGGATTTTGTACTAAGCTGGGTACATGTATGTGGGATTTTGTACTAAGCTGGGTACATGTATGTGGGATTTTGTACTAGGCTGGGTACATGTATGTGGGATATTGTACTAGGCTGGGTACATGTATGTGGGATTTTGTACTAAGCTGGGTACATGTATGTGGGATTTTGTACTACGCTGGGTACATGTATGTGGGATATTGTACTAGGCTGGGTACACGTCTGTGGGATATTGTACTAGGCTGGGTACACGTATGTGGGATATTGTACTAGGCTGGGTACACGTATGTGGGATATTGTACTAGGCTGGGTACACGTATGTGGGATTTTGTACTAGGCTGGGTACACGTATGTGGGATTTTGTACTAAGCTGGGTACATGTATGTGGGATATTGTACTAAGCTTGGTACATGTATGTGGGATATTGTACTAGGCTGGGTACACGTCTGTGGGATATTGTACTAGGCTGGGTACACGTATGTGGGATATTGTACTAGGCTGGGTACATGTATGTGGGATATTGTACTAGGCTGGGTACATGTATGTGGGATTTTGTACTACGCTGGGTACCCGTCTGTGGGATTTTGTACTATGCTGGGTACACGTCTGTGGGATTTTGTACTAGGCTGGGTACACGGCTGTGGGATTTTGTACTATGCTGGGTACATGTATGTGGGATATTGTACTAAGCTTGATACATGTATGTGGGATATTGTACTAAGCTTGGTACATGTATGTGGGATATTGTACTAGGCTGGGTACACGTCTGTGGGATTTTGTACTAGGCTGGGTACACGTATGTGGGATATTGTACTAGGCTGGGTACACGTATGTGGGATATTGTACTAGGCTGGGTACATGTATGTGGGATATTGTACAAGGCTGGGTACATGTATGTGGGATATTGTACAAGGCTGGGTACATGTATGTGGGATATTGTACTACGCCGGGTACACGTCTGTGGGATTTTGTACTAGGCTGGGTACACGGCTGTGGGATTTTGTACTACGCTGGGGACATGCATGTGGGATATTGTACTACGCTGGGGACATGCATGTGGGATATTGTACTAGGCTGGGTACATGTATGTGTGATTTTGTGCTATGCTGGGTACATGTCTGTGTGATGGCCCTCTTTTTATATGAATTTTACGTTTGAATGGCATGCACATTACTTACATCTCACCCTCTGTAGTCTCTGGTGTCTGGCATTTTGCTTTCTGATGGCTGATGCTCTTTGACTTTAAATGTAATGCCATGTATATGAAGATTTTTCCTATATGATGTATTAAGCATCTGTAGTGGTTGTCTTGACCCTAGTGGAGTCAGGTTTTAATTTCGGTGCGATATCGCAGCTGGTGGAATCTAGCGCCTGGCCTCGAAATGAGTCACAAGTAGCAGTTTTTTCTAATTTCCGTAGCGCTGTACATTGGGATCACCTCCTATTATTCTCTACGGTAATTACAAGTCACAACTGGTAAGTCTTTGTATTATTGAAAGAGCCGCTATTTACCAACGTTACAGACAGCCTATTTATTAACGGCTTGTCGCTAAAAACTGACAACGCTGGAAATGAGCCCTACATTGGGAATAGTGGAGACATGATATGCAGATTGTATATTTTAGGTAAAACTAGGAAAACTTGCAGGAATTGGAGAAATTCTACAACTCCGCTATTCTGGTCTAAATCTGTAAATGCCTTGCCAATTCCCCACGAGTCTCAGGTTAGCTGTTAAAGCCTGATGGTATTAGCAAGACATATTGATGAAATGATGGTTTATAAACTAAAAGGTGAATTGTAAGAAACTGGAAACAAATCGCAAAATGTAGGTAAAAATAAAAATAACCAATTTGGTTATTCACCAGAAACACCAGTCCACCCACCAGCTCGGATATAGTGAAACATACATTAAACCAGAACCTGGATGGGAGAATCGAGCACAATAAGACTAGCAGACAAATCCAGTAAATAAAAAGCAGTGCTAAAAAGAAGCAGAGGCTCAACAGCTTTTCTTAAACTACAAATCTCATGCCATTGTTTAAAGGGACATTACAGTTTATTGAATTTGTTCTGGTGAGTAGAATCATTCCCTTCAGGCTTTTTGCTGTAAACACTGTCTTTTCAGAGAAAATGCAGTGTTTACATTGCAGCCTAGTGATAACTTCACTGGCCACTCCTCAGATGGCTGTTAGAGGTGCTTCCTGGGGCAGTGCTGCAAAGAGTGACTGACATTCAGTGTCTCCACCCTCTGCATGGAGACACTGAACTTTCCTCATAGAGATGCATTAATTCAATGTATCGCTATGAGAAAATGCTGATTGGCCAGGGCTGTGTTTGGCTTGTGTTGGCTCTGCCCCTGATCTGCCTTCTTGACATTCTCAGCCAATCCAATGCTTTCCTATGGAAAAGCATTGTGATTGGCCGAGATCAAAACTTCTAGTAATGTAAGCCAAGGACGCAGATTAGGGGCAGAGCCAGCAGCAGCAGACTTAAATAAAAGTAAGATTTTACTATATTTGGGGGAGAAATTAATGCATGTTTGTGTTCCTTTAAATGTTGTAACCGACTAATACCTGTAATACCAGGTAACGTAAACACCCAATCTTCATTGGCATACTGCACCCCACTCAAAGTTACTCACTCTTCATTACGACATTTGTGATCATAAATTCTACCACATTTTCCTTAACACACATCAAATGGCAAACGGAACTGGAATTCAGAGATTAAGCAGCTCCTAGATTTCATAAACAGCGAATGAAGTTATATATGATTATAGATATTAAAGGATCACTATAGGGTCAGGAACACAAACATGTATTCCTGACCCTATAGTGTTTAACCCAATGTATAGGTGGCTTGCCCCCCTCCGGTCCCCCACCCCCCTTAGCCCCCTCAGAATGGGTTAAAACTCTCCACGGCCCGCCCCCTTGGTGACATCAAAATGGCTGATTTTTGAGCCAATCCAATGCTTTCCCATGGGGAAAGCATTGGATTGGCTAAAATCGGCAAGTGGGGGGGCCAAATGTAGTTTTGGCCAATCAGCACCTCCTCATAGAGACGTATTGAATCAATGCATCTCTATGAGGAAAATTCAGCGTCTCCATGCAGAGCTGCTTACTGTGCAGCACTGAGCCAGGAGGCACCTCCAGTGGCCATCTAAGGAGTGTTCACTTGGAGGTGTCCCTAGGGGCAATGTAAACACTGCCTTTTCTCTGAAGGGAGCTATTATACTCACCAGAACAACTACATTAAGCTGTATACCATACATTAAGCTGTATATTATACATTAAGCTGTATATTATACATTAAGCTGTAGTTGTTCTGGTGTCCCTTTAAGTTAGAGTTTAGAAGAGTTAGTAAGTACAGTATAGAAAATTTAGGTTAGTTTAGTTTGGTAGACTTTCTGACATGGTAGTGCACCCAAATTATTTGTTTAGTAAGTGAGATTGAGTAGTGTCTGTTCAATATATTGTCCCACTGGAAAGAATATACTAAATTTGTGCTATTCCAAACTCTACATCAGAATACTGATACGGCCCTGCACAAATCGTATGAGGTGGTTGCCCCCTACCTCTGCATTGTTTAAAGAAGTACGCATTTACGGAGCCTCTCACTGCTCGGCAATCAGGGGTCTTAGAAGAACAGATCCCATACAATGATTACTGTATTGTCACACTTCCCTACACATGGAAGGATCAATTAATGGAAACACGATTTGTCTAAATTATGCATTTTTTTTACATTATTTATCTCTGAGTAGCAATCTATACTTTTATTGCATGTGTTATCCTGCCTTTATGTGCTAGGTATGCATCTTATGTTTAAAATAAAACACACTTCTTATACTATGAAAACCTTTAGTAAATATCAAATTTCTTCTTTTAAAAAGCAGTAATCTACCGTTTTAAATACATTTTTAGATTATGCCGTCATTAGTTCCATTGGGAAACTGCTTTCACAAACTTGTGACAATATCTTGTGCAGACACTACTTAAAAAAGGTGCACTCTAAGCAAAATAGCCATTATATTATCACAGTTCATTTGAGCAGTTACACTGCACAAAGACTGTGGGTTTGTACTATGGTTTTCAAGTAGTTTCATAAAAACTGAAACTGTTCAGGAACTTAAAGCCCAACCGCACGCACCTCTATATAAACTTGCTGATTATACAGTGTTAAATTAAAAAAAAATACATAGTTTAAAATCCCTGTTTAGCAGATATACCCCAAACAAACAAAAATTTTTTTCCCCATTGGGGTATATCTAAAAACAACTTGTAAAAGCTGCAAATCTCCTGCTGTGTGCAGCCTTTGCAAGCCCTCCCCTTCTAACCCGCCCAGACTTTCTGTTGCTGTCCAATCACAGACTCCCCAATGCAGCTCAATGAGAAGTCTTTGCAAGGCAGGTGCTCTGGGTAATTGCTACCTCTTAAATTTATCTCCACTGAGTTAAACAACCAGGACGTAACGGGACCGGCTGTCTAATTGACAACCAGGGTGTATAATAAGAAGGTTTATAAAAGAGACAATTTTTTGTAAAAGGAGGGGGAAAAAAAATTACACTTTTCACACATAAAGCACATTAACAAGCTAAAGTGCTTTAAATGTATGGAGTGTTCCTTTAAATACAATTATTATTTGTTCCAGCTCCACTGAGAATCAGACACTATTTCCCAAAAAGCAGTGAGTAGAGATTAGGAATTCCACATTTAAAATATTTTGTCTAAAAATCTAATTTTAGAACAGTGATCAAAGCCCCCAAAGGAAATTCTGAAAGAGTAAAGAGCAAATAAGAGAAGGACAGTGACTACAAATGACCACCTCTGCCATGGAGATCTCCGGCAGGACATCCTGAGTACGGTGTAAGATACACAATATGTCTGATCAACTTAATCACCAACTAAAACCTAAAATGGGGGACCAAATCAATTGTCACATATCAGATATGGTTTTCAAGATGAAAGAATAAAATATATATATGAGTGTGTGTGCGCGCGTATGTGTGTGTGTATATATGTGTGTGTGTGTGTGTGTGTGTGTGTGTGTGCGCGTATATATATATATATATATATATATATATATATATATATATATATATATATATATATATATACATACATACATACATACATACATATTTTCAAACCCCATATATTGTATTTTTGAGAAAACAAAATGCAGCTATGTATTCTTTTCTTTTTTTTGCCCAATCTATCTTCTCGTGGGGTTACAGAATTTGCTAGTGGGGCACAGTTTTATAAAGTGCTATGAGGAAGCAGCCATCGCTACCAGAGGGCTCTGTAGAAACAGATCAGGGACAGAGGGAGAAAGAGAGTAAATAATGGTTTAGAATGAATGGCAGTCCGATATTAGCCATGACGGGCACAGGAGACCGCTAGTCAGACACATAAAAGCATAATGTTTGCAAGCTGCAATGTAGATCGAGGCCGCCCTAGCTCAAACAGCTGCATTTCTATGGTACCAAAGTGAAGAGCAGTAACTATCATAACAAGCTGTGATTGTCCTCTGCATGCCTCCGTAACTGCCATAATATACTTTTGGCAGAGGCGAAGATTCAGGATTATTGCCTGCAAAATAATGACGTTCTACAGTTTGTTTAAAAAAAAAAAAAAAAGATTAAATCTTAAACAATTTGAATAAATCACTTCATAAGTGCATAGCTAATTTGTAATCAGAATGGACACTGATTCTGCAATGTGCACTACTGACTGGCGTGTTCACTGATGCCAATTCCATTTTCTGTGCCAGATTTGAGCCAGTGACCTAAGGATCAGTCCCCACATTAAGATTAGCAGTCTTGTTATTTAGGGATACTGGCAGCAGGGGATTCAGCTTAGATTAAATAAAAAGTAACATATCCAAGTGAAAGAAGATTAATACAGTTTAAAAGTTCAGTTTTTTTAAGCTTGGCACAGATCTAAAATGAAACATGTTTTTCATTTCCCCTTTAAACCTTTGTTCTGTCGACCTCCTTGGATTAGATTTTGATTTGCTCATTTGTTAAAGTACGAAAAGACCATAACACAAAATATGGTATTATTATATCACAGTACTAGAGGGATGAAAACAAGACACAAATCCATCATTATTTCACAAACTCCTCTTTTCTTGACAAGACAGACTTACTGAACAATTTTCATCAGACGACATGCCTTGTTCATCCAACAGAAAAATGAGAATACAGATCCAGGACGATCCAGGAGTAAAAAAACAAGTGCAAGAGAGTTTAGGATTGGTCTCAGCATTGGATCGAGTAACAAGCCTTTGTAGTGCTACCCTGTGACCCTCACAAGCCAATTCCGTGGGTCTTTTGATGTGTGGTCAGGTTCTGCTTGTGCCTGAATGTTTTACCACAATCATTGCATTGGTACGGTCGTTCCCCAGTGTGGGTCCGTAGATGTGCAATGAGATGGTGTTTCTGGATGAAGCTTTTCCCACACTCTGAGCATGTGAAGGGTCTCTCGCCAGTGTGCGTCTGCTGGTGGCACTTCAAGTATTCCCTCTTGCGGAAGCTCTGTCCACAATCGTTGCACTTGTAAGGTTTCTCCCCAGTGTGGGTTCGACCATGTATCTTCAAGTGTTCGCAGGTGCTGAACGTTTTCCCACACTCACTGCAAATATAAGGCCGCTCTCCTGTGTGCGTTCGCTGATGTCTCACCAAGTGCTGCTTCTGAATAAACCCCTTGCCACAATCGGCGCAGGTGAAGGGCCTCTCTCCAGTGTGGATCTGCTGATGCCGTTTCAGACAGTCTCGCTTCCTGAATGTCTTCTGACAAGATTCACACTTAAAGGGCCTCTCACCCGTGTGTGTGTGCAGGTGGAACTTCAAGTGCTTGAGAAAGCGGAACATTTTCCCACATTCTCCGCACTCAAATGGCTTCTCACCAGGGCCACCCCGCGGGCTCTCACTGTTTTCACTGTCATCGTCTCTGCAGAGCCCAGTCTCCTCATCCTGGGCCTGTTTATGGGCTTTTAGAAGCTTCTGAGACTTGAAGGTTCTCCCACAGTCTGCACACTTATTAGGTCGCTCCCCAGTATGTATACGGTTGTGGCGTTTCAAGTGCTCGTAGGTAGTAAAACTTTTGCCACATTCACTGCAGATGTGGGGACTTCCCCTGCAGGAGCCAGTTGAGGAATTTGAGTAGGGGAACTCCTCCACAATTACCACAGTGTAGGGTCTCTCTCCTGTGTGAGTTCTCTGGTGCCTCACAAGGTGATGCTTCTGAATAAAGCCTTTACCACATTCTTCACAAGAAAAGGGACGTTCACCAGTGTGGATCTGTTGATGACGTCTCAGGTGTTCTCTTTTCCTGAACCCTTTCCCACAGTCCTCACATTCGTGTGGTTTCTCCCCTCGATGGAGCTTTTGGTGGAACTTGAGATGTTTGAATGTTCGAAAACTCTCTCCACACTCACTACAATTATAGGTGGTCTCTCCGGTGTGGCTTCTCTGGTGAGCCAAAAGGGTCTGCTTGTGCCGGAAACGCTTACCACACTCTTCACACTTGTGAATCCTTTCTCCTGTGTGGGTCTGTTGGTGGACTTTTAGCACTCTGTGAGCTCTGAAGCTTTTGCCACAATCATCACACTTGTAGGGCCTTTCACCTGTGTGAATTCGCTGATGAATTTTCAGCCGCTCATTAGTGCTCAAGCTCTTTCCACACTCTTCACATTTGTACGGTCTCTCCCCGGTATGTGTCCTCAGATGGGTCACGAGATGCTGCTTCTGGATGAAGCTTTTGCCACATTCTATACAGTTGTACGGTCGTTCCCCGGTGTGGGTTTGCAGATGACGTTTTAGGCTATCCCTCTTTCGAAAGTTCTTTCCACATTGCGTGCACTGGTAAAGCTTATCCCCATCATCTTTCACTGAATCAGATGAGTTATTAAGGGGACTAAAGCCTTCTGGAATGGCAGGTCCATCATCCACTTTGCTCCCCGTTAAGTTATCCTGTGATATGCTTGGTGTGGCCTCATTTTTGCACCCATTATCCAGCTGTGGGCACTCTGGAGGAGGTTCCAGGATGGGCAAAGATGGGGTCTCCACATTTTCCAGTTTATCGTTATATTTTGTGTTCTGCCTTTCCTTATCACTCACGCTACCATCATCTGCGAGAAAGAGAAATAAATCACTAATTAGTTGAAAGTCTATAAAAAACTAAACAGATCTGTTTCCAGTTCACAGAATAAAATATAGTTGGTAAATAAGGCGCAATCACCAGTGAAACTGCCAAGCGTGTGTCGACTAGAGCAAACAGCAGCAGGTGGAATAAATTGTGAACCAGTAACGAGGATAAAAGTGGGCAATGAAATGACTATACACACAGTATGGGGGATATATATCACAGTGCTATGAAAACTCATGGTTAAATTCCAGCATTTTAATCGCATCTACTGAAGTGATGTTAAAAAAAACTTCCTTTATAAATTACAACAGTATCAGTGAGAATCGTTAGCATCAATCAGGAACTGGCTGGGTCTTGTTTTCACCAAATACAGAGCCACAAGGAGTTAATTTGGACAGGAATGGGCACTACAGATTTATAAGTGATTGGATATTCTGCTTTATAAGGAATTTAGGCCGAATCGAGGGAATCTGCAACCTCGGTCTCCACTGTAAGGTGAATCTAAGCCAAGGAGAGACCACCACTCCAAGATGCTCTAGTTCTACATTGGCTGGAGCGCCACCTGCTGGCTTCTTCTGTTCTAAACAACCCTAGAACAGTAATAACAGATTTTTTTTTAATGGGAAATATGCACACATTCTATATAGAAATATAACACGCAAACCAGGTTTACTTAGCGTATTTAAAAAATGGAATACGGTCTTTAATTTAAATTTTTGTTTACATTTCTAGACAGGGATTTTTCTATAAAGAACTCTTAGAGGATTGATCTTGTCACTGCTGGTAATGGGATTTTCCATTTATAATCCATATTTGCTTTATGACATTATCTATAGTTAGAGAGAGATTATTTAGAACACAAACATGCGGTCGCTATGTCAGGGTTACTCATTAAAGTGGGATTATCAGGAATTCAAAGTGATTTTTAAACTTGAGGCCAAAAATCACTGAATTAGTAGCTGATCTAGAGAATTGCTCTGCATACGTTATGGGTGATAAGCACCATGGGAAATGCAGTTTGTATCCATCTGGAGTGTCATGAAAAGTCATTAGTCATCTGAGGATTGCTGCTCTCAACCACTAAAGAGAAGATCTACAGTGTATTTACAGAGCGGGGAATTGAATGGAATTTTAAGAAACTATAAGTGATACACACGTTTAAAAAATCCTGATATGAATGTATCACTGAACTGAGAATGTATCAGAGGTAACACTTTTAGTACCAGATTAGGGAGTGCGAGGACAAAATAAGACTTTAGAACTAAGCAATAATCACCCCAAACAGGTTTTCTCTCAAATGAAAAATTGCAGTTACCCATAGAAATCAGAGCTTCATAATTCTCTTTCATCATATCTTTGTAGAGCTCCTTCTGACATTCTTCCAAATCTTTCCATTCGTCCTCCGAAAAATACGCAGCCACATCATCGAATGTTACTGGAACCTATAACAGGCAAAAACACGGCTTTAAGGACTGTCTCACCTGCACATATTGCATACTTTGTAAAATACACACAGTGATACAAACACATGGACATACACACACTGTTATACAAACCCATGGATACACGCAGACACAATAATATACACAATGATGCACTTACACACTATGACACAAAGGGATAGTTCATAAAAATGGGTCGGTTTAGTGTACAGTGTCCCTTTTACTAGACTGTGACGAACTGAACCTCGCCACAAGCTCCTGGATGTGCCTGCTGGCCAGCCTCTTATATATACCTTGCCCAATGCACGTTAAAAGGCTCCGTTCAGGTGATTTATGATCTTTTGTTCTCCAGAAAGAAAGACCGACTGTTAGCCCTGGTTCCCTGGAAGGTTTTGGGCATGGGACCATGTGTACGGTCGGTCAAAACTATGACTTCCAAGGAAATC